CCGAGAAATGGCCACTTCCAGTCCATCAACGCCACAAGGTAGCAAGCAGTCCGTCAAGTGTGGACTGCTGTGAACTGACGTGCACTATACAACAGGCGGGAGTATTTCTGCAGAACTGAGATTACACCGAACGTGTACGATTTTTAAATATGTTAACCTTTTAAACTGAGGTTCAGGCTTTCAAATTAAGCCACTATGCAACGTAAATGCTACAGAATCTCAATGGCAGCGAGGAGAGGGAGTATTCGAGGGAACGTGACGTCGCTGCAGAAACCCAGTGGGCGTGGCCGCTGCGTGCTGCGTCATGCGGCGACGCGCAGGACCACAGAGGTGAAGGTGGTGGGAAAGGTTAATGGCGCAGGTGAGCGGCCGTGTGGATTGTTTTCAACGACTGAGTTGGTATGCGAAGCGTCGTGCGTGCACACCTTTAAAAACAAGGAAGTCATTCACAGTAAAGCTTCTATTCCAAGAGAATTTAAACGTTATGTATTTATTGAGGTGCGGAAGGGGCGCTTCTTTAACATTGTAAGTAACGCATTTTCCTAAGACATGTTCAATTGTAGATAATGAGGGACCCGCAAGCATGTAGGTAAGAGCATGTTAGCGATCGCCTGCCCGCCTCTCCCTTGTTTCTGCAAGTTCCTTAATTCCGTCCCGAATGTCGTGAGCGGTGCGGTTTTTGCATTCTGGCTAAACGCTGACCGAGTACTGTACATCTGAAACCCAACGGGACGGCGAGGCTGGGCGCCGTGACGCGTTCCGGTGTCTTGCTGCAGGACGTGGGGCCGTATTGTCTTGCGAGTGAGACGTGGCACTGAGGGTTGTCCGTCGTGTCCCACGATGACGGTTGTGCTTCGTGCGGATCATCTGTTAAGAGTAGTGGTCACCACTGGAGACTTCCTTGGTTGCAGTGGACGGCCCTTGGCTTTCCAACAGAGCATTGCAACAGTATAGTGTCCCATCACTATACTGGGGCATTAGGATCCACACAGACCGCAGGGTGAGCGCCCCCTGCTGGCCCCACTAAAACCTCTTCCAGCAGCAGCCTCAGCTTTCCCAGGGGTCTCCCATCCAGGTACTGGCCAGGCTCCCACCTGCTGAGCTCCAGTGGGCTGCCAGCTGGGAGCTGCAGGGGGATGTGGCCGCTAGGTGTGGCACTCGTTAACACTTAAATAATTGATACTGTACTTGTCCCAGTTGCAAAAAGTGCCTTCAACTCGACGCCCTCCTATGGCAAGGGCACCAACACAAGAGCACCGGTTCACCTTGCCAGAATGTCTTTAGAAGGTGTGGAAAAGCTGGAGCACCCAGAATAAAAAAACACAGGAGCTGGAAGAGAACATGCAGACTCCACACAGGAAGTTACTCTCTAGTCAGGAATCACCACCGGGACCCAAAGAGCTGCTTGGTGCTTAGCAAGAGACATGACCGAACATGTCAGGCCACTGAAACAAATCTTTCAGTAGACCTGCTTAACAGTTTCAGCTGTTTTCTTCTCCTCAAGAGGCGGCTAGATTGACGCTAACTGGAATAGAGTGGTGTCCTGAACAATGCAATCCAGCCTGTCCAAAAAAAAAAAATGTTTCTTTTTCCTTCACATAATCATCTGTACTTCAGGAGCAGAAAGATCCCGAGCTGACATTGGATCCAGAGTGAGGTCAGTGTTATGACACCCTTGTGTGTAAAGTAACCCTCAGCTTGATACTGCCTGAGCCAAGTATTTTAAATACCCCAGCTGATACTGCTGAATCGGAATCCCTTGATGACCCACAGAGCCTCTTTCCAACCAGGAAAAGTCTGGTTTACAATTACGTTGATGCGTTTTCTGGATTCTGAGCCTACAAATCTGTCTTCTGTGAAGTTTGGTGACTCTCACTTTGGAAAGCACTGGGTGATTTTTCCAGAGCTCAATCGGAGTATCGCCTTTCCTGGGTGTAAATGATATAATTTCTTCTCAGGAACTATTCGGAGCTCACGACTCAGACTTCCACTTCTGCTGTGATTGGAGCTGCAGCTGCACTGGTAGAGGTGGAGGAGAGTCCCCATTACCTGTAAAGCTCTTTGAGTGGCGTGTCCAGAAGAGTGATGGAGAAGTGTAAGGAGCTGCTGTTTAATTAGACAGGGACATTTTCACATATTGTTGGTTGATTTGACCTATATTACACACGGTGTATAAACATCGTTATTAGGCAGCGGAGCTGCTCCAGCTACGGTGTACAAGTGAATGTTTCCGCAGGCTGTCAGGGTGGATAACGCTGCCCTAGGCTGGGACTGTTAGCCCTTCATTTGCTCGTCTACGGACAGCATGGTGCACTATTGTACTTTTTAGATTCTCAATCTGAATATACCTACATTTTGCAAGTATTATATTATTTTACAGTAACTATGAGCATATTTTGCACACACCTAACTGTATTTTATATTTATTTTGTATTACTATGCATACTTTAATTTTTCGTCTATTCTGATGTCTGGTTTTGCTTGTCCTGGGCTGGGCTGCTGTAGCACCTCAAATTCCCTTCGGGATCAATAAAGTCTCATCTATCTCGTCTCTCTGGACCTGTAACTGTGGCATTCTGGGGACAGCCAGGGCATGTGGCTCTCTGTGTTACCAGCTGTTGGTTTCTCTTGTGAATACAGATTTATAGCTCTCTTAAGCATACAGTAAGAACAAGAACAAGCTGGAAAATCCTTTCGGAGAAACCAGGTGACCTCCAGTCTTTCGTCTTGCGTGCATTAACCAGTTTGTGCTTTCCCAGGCTGGCTTCTGACACGTGGCTAAGCGCAGACTGCACGCTTGACTGCACGCTGCCCTGTTTAAACACCACACAGGCGGTCACTTAACATGCATGTATGCGTGTTTTTTTAATGAAACTAATTTTAGATCGGCCTTGTTCCGTGTCCCATTTTCCATGTTAAAAGAGGCTTCTAGGCCACATGTATCCCTGCGTGCACCGGCTCTTCATCAGGGCTGATCTTCAGAAGCAGAGGAGTGAGGAACTGACACTTCCTTTTGTCCGATTCCCGGAATCTGGAGACTCAGTTCCCAGCCTGTTTGGGGTTTCAGCCCCGCGTGTGGAACTGTGTGCTCTCTGCTGGTTAATTTTAAAGCAGGTGCTTAGTTTAGGAAGCGAATGTTTAATTAAATTCATTGCTTATTTGGACCTCCAGTATTTGCGTTGTGTTTTAGCCCTGAAACCAGGCACGCCCGCAGTGGATGGGACGCTGTACTAGACACGCCCACCGCTGGGCACCTCCCTGTGTCAGAGCACCATGAGGGTTTTTTTTTCCTTTTGAAGGTCCGGTGGGTTAAATGGAGAACCTGAAATCGGTGAGCCTGTGCTTACGAACTCGTTGCAGTGCTGCGATGCCCAGAGTGACAGGACCAGGGCTGGGCACTGCTGTATTAAGAGTGAGAGGCGCTGAATTAATGTGTGCAGCACGCTGCAGTGTACAGGATGCTGATCCAGTTTAATGTAGTGAAATGGGGTAACTCCCAGTGTCGTACTGTACACCACACCAGTCCAGAATGGAAACATACAGAGCTCCACCCTTCCGCGGCCTTGTGCGTGACTTCCTTTTGTGCCTTTTGTGTGTGTTTCTGGTCTGGGCAGCAGATCCGCGCGGTGAGTAGCCAGAGTGGACACCCCACACGTCACACAATACCGGGGGACGCCAGAGAAGACTACAACACCAGCTGCATTTCCAAAAAAACAAAACTTTGGCTTTTATAAAAAATATTACACTCGCAATGCATGCACAAGGGAGATCATTAAATAGAAACTTAAATACATTAAATTACACCCATTGCCCTTGAGGGGATATACATCAGTTAACTGACCCCAGTGGCCAGGGCCTTGCAAGAGCCGGCCGATAATCAAATAAAATTAACAGAATATCAGTTCACGGAGATGACACATCCCGCCAAGACCACAGCAGTATACTAAGTGTTTTTTAAACCAGACACGTTTCCGACTCATTGTTCGCAGGTTTACACGTCTCAGATTTGTAAGTGTTCTTTTTCAAGCCGGAGGACAGCGGGACAGTCTCCGGTTGAACGTGTTCCCAGAGCGCCGAGGGGGATCTCCCCTTCCCCTCTCCTTTCCAGCGCTGAACGTGCGCTCGCCCTGTGGAGAAGCGGGGTGATGCGGGGGGGGGGTGTTGTCATGAATCGGGGGCCGCGCTGGCGCTCTCTGGGAACCCGTGCGACAGCAGGAACACGGTTTTCCTTCGCTGCTCCGAAGCAGCGGCAGGAAGCGGCCATCGTCACTTCGTCCTCTCCCTCCTCTCCCTCCTTCAGCGCGAGCGAGCAGTGGAGCACAAAGGAACAGGAGGACACAGGTGGGAGCAGCAGGGAAGTACATTTAAAACTGAGCTCAGGAGGCACCTCTTTACGCAAAGAGTTGTGGATGTCTGTTTTTACAGCAGTGGGAGACCCTGAGCACTCCCCCCGTTTAAATAACACGCTCACACGCTGCCTCCCTCTCTCCTGGGAAGAGTAGCGGGAGGGCAGAGTTCCTGGCCTGGAACGCAGATGAGACTCTTCTTCAGCTGAACGGTCAGCTGTCGTCGATGGGGGGGGCGGGTGTCTTCAGGGGTCCCCCAGTTTTTAGAGTCCCAGCTGAGTGAGTCCGGTGGGGGGGGGGGCCTGGACGATGTCAGTCTTCCATCCTGCACTAGAAGCTCTTCCAGATGAAAGATGGAAAGGAAATAAGTCCTCTCCCCCCCCAGCATGCTGCGCTGTGCAGAGGTGCCCTACAGCAGGGGGGGGGGTCTATATACACAGGGTTCGGTCCTGACGGACAGGCCCGGTTCAGTTCGGGGGTGGACCTTGAAGGAGTGCGTTGGGGAGGGGGGTGGGCAGCCCACACTTTGCCCAACAGGATTTTTCCAGGTTCCCGTCGGCAGTCGGGAGCCCTGAAAGAGCCCGCCGCCGGGGGGACGTCTCTCGTCCAGAAACATTCCTTCTCCTTGCGTTCAGTCCCGAAAGAGCCCCCCACCCCTCCCTGCAGCCTCCGGTCCGGGGGGTCCCGGTGTGTCTCGTTCTTCTGCGCAGGCTCGTCCCCCTCTGTCCCCCCGGCCCCCCCCGCCCCGCCCAGCTCACACGTCCCCGGGGGCGGCCCGGGGCGTCCGGCTCCTCTCCCCCGCGCCCTTGCCCCGGCCCTTGCGGGCGCTCTCCTGGGCCAGCCGGTACTTGCCCAGCATGGCCTTGTGCTTGCGCCGCAGCTTGTCGCTGCACCACATGCGCTCGCAGTACTCCTCCACGTGGGGCAGGCTGGAGGGCCCGAGCAGCTGCATCAGGTCCTTGAACCAGGAGCGGGCGTGGGCCGGGCCCCCCCGGTGGGAGGGGCAGGGGGGCAGGCCCCCCCGGGAGCCCGCCCACTCCCCGCCCTCCTCGCGGGCGATGAGCTCGCCCAGCGTCTCCCCGCGCAGCACCTCCAGGGAGACCCGCGCCAGCGTGCGGGCGAAGCCGAGCTCCCGCGCCTGGCACACGTACACCCCCTCGTCCTGCCGGTGCAGGCGCCGGAAGAGCAGGCCCTGCTCCGTGCGGATCACCCTGTCGTCCGTCTTCACCTGGGGGGGGAGATTCAACCAACGATTAAAACAGGACCACGCGCGCCAGCCTGGTCCGCACGGGGTCCGCGGCGCAGCCGGGCCTCATCACATCCTTGAAACCTCCGTGGAGTAAATGGAAGATTAATTACATTCATTTCAATTTAAAAAAAATTGCTTGAGGGGGAGATTCGCACGTTTCTTTGGTCTCGTCTTATCGGGATTCCCTGCATCTTGCGCAGTGCAGCAGGTTTCGAGCGCAAACTCCAGCCTGTTTAGGAACTGGAGGCTCGTGAACTCGAATGAATCCTGGGGTCAGGCCAGTTAGGGGGTGTGATGGGGTTGTGCACCGGCGGGCTGGGCTGCGGCAAAGCCCGGCAGCTGTGTGGGACTCCTGGATCTGGATTGGAAACACCTGCTCTAAATCAGGGGGCTCCCGATCCGTCTCCCGGGGACCCACGCACGGTTTTCCCCGCAGCCGAGCTCTTTGCCGACATGAAGCCTCAACTGAGGATTAACTGAGGCTGCAGCCTGCCTGCCCCCCGGAGGCTGGAGCTGAGCTCGTGAGGAAGGGGAGGCTCTCACCTCTTCCCTGCGCTCCTCCCTCTGGACCAGCCAGGCCACGCTGGCCTGGGGCGATCTCGGGACGCACTCCAGGAAGGTGCTGTTGTTCTCCGTCCCGTACACCACCCTCTCCTCCCCGGCGTCCAGGTCTTCGGCTGTGGGGGGGACAGACATGAGTGGTCAGCGGTCAGCGGGCGCGGCGTGCACTGTGATCGGGGGGGAGGGGCTGCAACAAATGCGGTCATGATGACAACACCCTACCCACAATCCCCCCCCCAAAGAGGGCTGTTTTCTAATGAGGAAGGCAGCATTTTTCTCATTAAATGTAATGGGCTTCTGGCAGCACGGCAGTCACATTTGGGACTGATAGACGAGCAGGGTTCGGTCATGTGGAGGTCTGATCCAAGTATGATCCGTCTTCCCCGACACACGCTGCGCCTTCCAGTGTCTTTGGAAGCCATGCTGTATCAATAATAATGACAACAACAACCACACAGTCTCCAGCTGGTGCGAACGCCCCTTTCTCTTGGCTCTCTTGTGGTCGTCCTGCTGTCACAGGAGGGGGTTAGAGAATAAGGGAGGTGAGGAAAAGACTGGCCTTTTTAAAGGGAGCTGTAGATGTCCAGATAAAAGGCCGTGTGTGCTTTCTGGGCGCGGCCCGGCAGCTGGGGGTGCTTTCTCGGCTGCTGCCCTGTTTGCGCGACCCTGCTCCCCAGCTCTCACCTGCCCGCGCCAGCTCCGGCCTTTCAGCCGGGGGATTAGGATTGTTTGCTCTCTTTAAAAAGACCTCATCGCTCTTTGTGTTGGCCTGGGCGCCCCTCTGCCGCCGTCACGACCCCTGCGTGACCCCGCGGGCGGCAGCGGCGCTCGTCACGCGGCCCGTGAGCAGCGCTGACAGAGTGAGGGATGCGGCTCTGTCTCTCGCGAGCCGACGCGTCTGTCCTGGTGCATAAACAGAGCTTCTGAAGCGAGGCTCGGCCAGGAAACCGCACACAGCGCCTCCCCTCCCCACGCCGGGGAGTCCCGTGTGTATTTAACGCCGGCGCCCCGGCTCCACAGACTTGGAGGGGGGGGGACAGTGGATCTGTGCGGGCCCGTTGTCTCGGAGAGCGAGGAAGACGCCCTCGACACTGGAATGCACCGCTCCTGGCCCGGAGCCACCTGTCCTGTGTGCCCAGGAAGAGGGTTTCTCGCTCGAGTGCCCCTCTTCCACCTCTCCCTGTCGCTAAGTACACGCGCACCCCTACCCCGACCTCTCCTTTCACCCCGGGTGGCCTTTACCCTCCTTCCGCCCCACTGCTCCCCATGTCTCCCCCCTCTGGTCCCCCGCTGCTCCCACTGTGTCCTCCTTCTGGTCCCCCACTTCTCCTACTGTCTCCCCTCTCTGGTCCCCCACTGCGTCCCCCACTTCTCCCACTGTCTCCCCCCTCTGGCTCCCCATTTCTTCCACCCTCTCCCCTGTACCCCCTTTCTGGTCTGCAACTTCTCCCCTCTCTCCCCTTCTGGTCCACACTTCTCCACCTCTCTGCTCTGTGCCCCCAATTGGTCCCACACTCTTCCCCTCTGTCCCCTGCAACCCCCTCTGGTCCCCCTCCTCCCCCGGCCCTGCCCCCTGCCCCCTGCCCCCTGCCCCGCCCCTCACCACTGGTGCTCTGTTCCCCCTCCCTCCCCTGGCTCCGCCCCTCACCACTGGTGCTCTGGTCCCCCTCCCTCCCCTGGCTCCGCCCCCGGCCCCACCCCTCACCACTGGTGCTCTGGTGCTCTGGTGCTCTGGTGCTCTGGTCCCCCTCCCTCCCCCTGACCCCCGGCCCCGCCCCTCACCGCTGGTGCTCTGGTCCCCCTCCCTCCCCTGGCTCCGCCCCCGGCCCCACCCCTCACCACTGGTGCTCTGGTCCCCCTGACCCCCGGCCCCGCCCCTCACCGCTGGTGCTCTGGTCCCCCTCCCTCCCCCTGACCCTCGGCCCCGCCCCTCACCGCTGGTGCTCTGGTCCACACACTGCAGCACAGGGTTGCCGTGGCGGATGTCCTGCCGCCGGTAGCGCCGCTTGCCGTGGGGGGTGTAGCGGGTGCAGGAGGTGCCGTCCCAGGCGCAGTAGGGGTCCCGCGCCAGGCAGCACTCGGCGCAGGCCTGGCCGTAGGTCTCGCAGCGGTGCAGCCGCACCTGTGCCACGCCCCGCGGGGATCCCACGTACAGGGTTTGCTGGGGGAGCAGACGGACGGGGGTCGGCGTCAGTGCGTGTGGGCCGCTCCCACGTCCCGTGTCCGGAACAAGGCCGTTCCCCAGGAGCTGGGATGAGCACGGAGTTCTAACGCGCCGCGAGCTGGCGAATAACCTTGCTTCAGGTACAGAGGAGCTACATGGGTTTCCCGACCAGTCAGCGGGTCGGTATTCCCATTAGCACTGGGGGTACGGGTGTGGGCACTGTGGCTTCCGACCGCACGGAACAAAATGGCAACGGCTTCTGGGAATGCTGGGAACGTTTTTCGAGATCTTGTCATTTTTGCACCGTATGAATTGTGTAACGCGACAGCAAGGCCTCATTTACAACGCTGTGCGCCGTTGTGGTCCGCCAGGTGAGAGAAAACACCTTTGGAGAGCATGCTGGGGCTTAAGGGAAATGGCCTACACTGACAGGTGAATTTTTAGTCTTGGAAAGAAAAAGACTTTGGCAGACCTGATTCAAGTATCCAAAATCACAAACGGCACCAGCTCAGTCAACCCACTGGACTTTTTCAGAACCAACAGGGAAGCATGAACCAGAGGCTTCAAGGGGGAAACTAACAGGGAAGTGCATTCGAAACGGAGAACGAGAGGTAGCTCTTTACACAAAGGGTGGCGGGAGTGTGGAGCAAACTACCCGGCCAAGATATTGAAGCCGACAGCCTGGCTCCTCTGCACAAACAGCTGGATGAGATCTTGGGAGCAAACAGCTAATTTTCACAGACGTATCAGATGGGCAGAATGGCCTCCTCTTGTTTGGAACTGTTCTTATGTAAAACATTTTTCAGCAGATACAGCACAGCTGGGGATCAGTGGCGTTCTTGGAAATGTAAGCTATCTGTCCGCATACAGCACATATATATCCTGAGTATTTATCTGTTCTATTGAATATATATACACTGCAAGAGGATCCAGACCTTTTATCGCTATATAGGAACATCTGCTGTGTTTATGTAATGCATATACATCACTTGAGAGAAAGGAAGTATAGGTTATATTAAGGTACTAATATATACACATAGGCCCAAGAAATCTATTGCTTGTATTTGTGCCTGTTCCCCATAATTTACTGAGCCTTCACGTCACATACCCGCTTCACAGAGATCTCCAGGGACGTGATGGGCGTCGGCACCTTGAATCAGAGCAAAGCAGAAAGAAGACAGTGAAGTCGTTGTGTTCCTCTTTGTTCAGGTTCAGCTCTGCAGACCACACAGACCGAGGGAGAGCCTGGCCGAGATGCAAGCACACACGCACAAGCACACGCATACATACAGTATGTACACGTACTGTACATGCACACATGCACACAAAGCATTTAAAAAAAACTTTAAACAGAAGTACCCAGCTTCCCCAGCAAGGTTTCCAGGGAAGAGGGAAACACTGTAACTCTAAAGTCACAGTTTCAATCGGACAAGAGCATGTCGTCCAGGCAGGTGTGCGGAGGAGAGAGAAACTTACCTTGAAGACCTGCAGCTCCTCCAGAGTCACCTCTTCGGTGTCCAGGGAGTTCCCACTGCGCAGGGCAATCACCTTGAGCACCGTGCCCACGTCTAAGAGACAATCAGGGGGACAGCAATAAGATAACTGTCTGCCAGCCTGGCCAGTTCACCCATCAGCCTGTCCAGACACTTAAAAAGGAAGAAGGTTTCCGTGATGGGCACCAGGCTGGCACTACAAGAGCACTACCGCGCTGCTTATCTCCCACTGCAGTGCTCACTCTGTGCGCCAGTGTCCCGGGCTTCCATTTTATAGGCAATGCAAAGCCACATACTGTATGCCGCTAAATACTGTAGATGTTCTTGAATCTTTGTCTTGCAGTGTAGTCTTCAGTGAGTAACTGAATCCACAGCAACAAGTAAAGATGAATGCAAAGAGGAAACACAGATCTCCCCACTGCCGAGCAAAGGAGAAGGTATATATGAACCGGCGACATCGGAAAACAGTGCAACAGCCCGGAATGAACTTTGCTCTTCTGCAGCCAATGCACAGCGACACAGCGGCACAGCGACACGCGCGGACCAACTGGCCTGTTTACTCATTCACTTGCACCTCCCTTGGCCCCCGAGGAAGTCTGGGCCGAGGGGCCAGGGAGCACAGCGCGAGAGTCGGTTCCCGAGCCGCGGGCGAGCGCCGGGGCCCCTCTCACCGGTGCCGATGAACATGACGTCGTACTGGCCGTCCTCGGCCTCCACGCGGTCCACCACGATCTGCCGCAGCCGGTAGCCCAGGTGGGCCTTGACGAGCAGGGGCTGGCGCAGCACGGGCAGCACCGCCTGGGCCATGAGCGGGTGGCCGCGGGCGAACTGCAGCACTGCGTCCGGGAACTCCTTGGTGCTGCCAAACTGCTTGCCCGGCTGGTTGGTGATCTTGCTCGGGCACTGGGCGGAGAGAGGGAGAGAGAGAGAGAGAGAGAGGTGAACGCCCGCTCAGGGGGAGGGAGGCCAGGAACACGTTCACGCCCCGTAAAAAATGACAAAACGCAGATTCACATGATAAAAAAAATTAAACTAGTACACGTTTTCAATCGGAATTAATGTAGTAACATTTCAGTAATATAGCAATAACAGTACAGTAACATTTTACTGCCAGTTCTAATTACTGCTATATTAATAATTCCTTACACTTCTATAGCGCTTTCCTGGACCCCCCACTCAAAGCGCTGTACAGGTCATGGGGATCCCCTCCACCCCCACCAGTGTGCACCCCCACCTGGATGAGGCGCCAGTCCGCCCCCACACACCAGCTCTCAGTGGGGAGGAGAGCAGAGTGATGAAGCCAGTTCAGAGAGGGGGGCTAGTAAGAGGCCAAGATCGGTAAAGACCAGGGGGAATTGGAGGTCAGCGCTCTGACGGCGTCCTCTCGGCACGTGCGATTCGCAGGCGTCGAGCCCCGAGCCACCACCGCCACTACCGCGCACTCACCGAGCCGGGGCGGGGGTAGGGGACACGGCCCTCGTAGGTGCCCCACTGGTAATCCGGCCCCTCCTTGTGGGCGAAGGGCCCGTTAAAGGCCTCCCGGATGTCGGCCATGCGGTACAGGCACACGGCGAAGCCCTGAAACACGTTGCTGGGAGGAGGAGGAGGAGGAGGGACAGGGCGGTGGGTGGAAGGGTGAAGAAGATTGAGTGAGAAACGGGATGGGGGTGGGAAGAAAAAGATTAGAGTTCAGGTTGATTGTCATGACCATTTCTGCCGTCATCTGACTTTGCTATAGCTCCGGGGACTGTACTGGGTGCTGTACAGCAGTATCCTGTGATGTCATAGTGTGATGTCATAGTGCAGTCTGGTGTGATGATGTCACAGTGCAGTCCGGTGTGTCTCAGTGTACTGTACAGCGGATCCAGTGCTGTGTGATGATGTCACAGTGCAG